GGACTGACGAATGCCCTGTTCGCGACAGAATCCAGCGAGAATGCCGGAGCGAAACTCGCCCCCGCGGTCGGAGTGGAGACAGCTGACACGACGACCACGAGTGTCCTGGGTGGTAAGCAACCACCTGATCAGCGTAGAAGTCACCTCAGACTTCCTCGCCAGGGGGAACACTGTGGTGTAGCGGGAGTAGTCGTCAACGACCACCAAAAAGAAACGCTCACGCTCAGGGCCAGGGCGAGGAGAGGGGCCCCAGACGTCCAAGTGCAGCGTCTCAAAAGGCTCGGTGGCCGGACGAAGGGAGGAGGAGTGAGGGGTGGCACGCAGCCTACCCTCGACGCAAGGACCGCACGGTGGCGCAAGGGACGGCGGCAGCGACGGCAAGACACGCGGGAGACCTAAGACAAGACGCTGACGAGACATAGCGCGAAGACGAGGAGGAGAAGGGTGCCCCAGCCGGTGGTGCCACAAAACGGTGGGGTGGGCAAGCGACCGACAGGAGCACGACGCAGCGACCGGACTAGACGGAGGAACCTGACAAGACACAGCTACCTGGGGGGACGGAGCAACCTGGTGAGACGCGAGGACTCGAACGGGGGGCAAAACAGGGGCCGGGGGCAGGAGGGGCGGCTGTGGCTGCGGCTGCGGCTGCTGCTGCTGCTGCTGCTGCGGCGGCTGCTGCTGCTGCTGCAGTCGCTGCTGAGCGCGCGGGCCAGTGTGAAGAGTGTAGAGACCGGAGCCCGGCTCAGCAGCAAAAGTGGCGAGGGGCTGGTAAGAGTCCCCGTCAACACACACCGCAGTCTCTCCAGAAGGCTCAAACCACACACCCACGTGCTGACTCACGAGGGGTCGCACGCCCACCAAGTTCCGGGAGAACGAGGGGACGTGAAACCCAGTGAGAGACCCAGAAGGAGCAGCCGGACACGGCAAGGTGGTAGTGTGACGCGCGGTGACTGGTCCCGAAGTGGGATCAGCCAGCGCCACAGAAACAGGCGCAGGAAGAGGCGTAAGTGTCGTGCTGTCACGAAAGAAGCAGTGAGAGGCTCCAGAGTCCAGCGTGAACGACAGCGAACCGTCCTCTGAGGTAGCCGCTGGACTAGAGTCTACACATGAACCTACACTAGCAACAGGCAACTGAGCAAGGCTAGCACCTAAGCTAACAACACCAGAGTAAACAGAGTCAGAAACACTAGAGTCAACAACAGCATACATAGCATGGGGACGACCAATCAGATCAACTAACTGCTCAGCAGACATGCCCCACAGAGCGGAGCCGTAACGCTGAACAAGAGGCAGCCAGTCAGGGGCAGGAGCACCAACCCCGTAGACCAAACGAACCGTGTCAGTGAGCTGAGCAAAGCACTGACCAGGGGGGTGAAACCGGCCACAAGGGTGGCCACGACGAGTGCCTGTCAGAACCTGGTAGGTGCAGGGAGTGTAAGCAGCACCGCGCTGGGTCTGACGCAGCCCCGACCCTGGAGCCAGCTGCTGCCGCTGCTGCTGCTGAGGCTGCTGGGAGGAGAGGGGCTGCTGCTGCTGCAGAAGCTGCTGCTGACGCTGAGCCTGGTACCACGCCGCTGCTCCACCAACCGGGGCAGGAAGTACAGGAGGCGACTGACGAACTCGGGCGTCGCCACCACCAGCAGGCGCAGTGGAGTCACCAGTCACTGCACGAGGCGCCTCTCCAGGCCCTGAACCTCCACCGCCGCCAGGCGCAACGCCACCTCCACTACCTCCGCCTCCACCTCCACTACCACCACCAGAACCGCCTTTCTTGCCACTCCTACCGCGGGACCGCGACGCAGTCGTAACAGCAGCTGCAGTCGCGTCAGTAGCGGCAGTGGCAAGTGAGGCAGTAAAGGTGGGTAACTGCGGGACTGTGCACCCGTGGAAGAGTGGGGGGGGCACAGCACCAGAGGCAGCGGCTACCGAGCGAAGGTTGCTCTCGACGTCCTTGAGTGCAGACTCAAGGACCTCGACGGTGAGCTCACTAGGGTGCTTCAGCAGAAGCGCGTCGCGAACGGAGGCAAGGCGGTCAGGGAGGCTAGTGGCGATGAAATAGATAGTGATCGCCATAGGGGGAGGAAGCAGTGCAAGCTGTGCCTCAGTGCAAGCAGCGCGGTAACTAGCGTCGAGCGAGCGGAGGTGAGCGATCAAGTCAGCAGAGCGCTCAAAAGACGCTAGGTCAGGAAACAGGAATGGGAGGAACAGGCGGCCAAGAGAGACAGCAGCGGGAGTAGAGTAGCGGGCCTTAATCGCAGTGAGGTACTCAGCAGCGGTGCGAACCTGAGTGAAGTGAACCTCCTCAGACTCAGGGAGGAGGCTGCTGAGCGCGATGCAGGCCGCAGCGTCACGTGACTTCCAAGCCGTCTGGTCAGCTCGCTGAGTGGCAAAGCGGGCTCTAGCGGCGTCATCAGGGGCAGGTCCTAAAGGCGTAGGGTCGGAGGGCGCAGGTAGGGCACCAGTAGCGTGCGCCCAGAGGGTCTCGCCTGCCTGGACCTGACTCTCTAACAGACGGCGAGCACGAAGAAGCCAGACGGAAAAATCAAGAGGTCTACCGTCAGCGTCGAAACGAAGGACGCGAGGGGTCGCCATAGTGTGCAAACGGAATTGGCAGGGAAAGCAGGGTGCAGCGGCAAGGGGGAACGGGCAGGAAGAGCGGGCAAGAGCGGGCGGGTAGGTAAGGTGTGGCGGGCGTCTAGGGTAGGAGCGCGCGGGCTAGGGCAGGAGCGCGCGGGCGGGTAGGGCAAAGGCGCCGGGCCAGGGCGACGGGCTGGGGCGCGGGCCTGGGCGACGGGCTAGGGCGCGAGCAGGGGGAACCGCGGGTCGACAGGCAGCGGGGGGAAGCGCGGGTCGACGGGCAGCGGGGGGAAGCGCGGGTCGACGGGCAGCGGGGGGAAGCGCGGGTCGACGGGCAGCGGGGGGAAGCGCGGGTCGACGGGCAGCGGGGGGAAGCGCGGGTCGACGGGCAGCGGGGGGAAGCGCGGGTCGACGGGCAGCGGGGGGAAGCGCGGGTCGACGGGCAGCGGGGGGAAGCGCGGGTCGACGGGCAGCGGGGGGAAGCGCGGGTCGACGGGCAGCGGGGGGAAGCGCGGGTCGACGGGCAGCGGGGGGAAGCGCGGGTCGACGGGCAGCGGGGGGAAGCTCGGTTCGACGGGCAGCGGGGGGGGGGGGAAGCGCGGTTCGACGGCAGCGGGGGGGGAAAGTGCAGCGCGACCTGCAGCGGTACGCTAGATCGGGCTACGCTAGATCGGGAGGAAGAACGAGCGGTAACGAACGAACGGGACTAGATCGGGCCGGCACTAGGCTCGGGCAAGACGGGCGAAACGAGAGCTAGGATCAGGCTCGGGTGGTACGATCGGAGAACGGAGAAACGGGATCCCACAGGATCCTAACCTAACTGATACCATGTCAGAATGAGAAATGGATGATGCATTGTTGTTGGTTGGGGTACATATAGCTAACCCTAAGTTTTGTACCCCCTAAGACAAACCTCACTATAGGCTACAACATTTGACAGATATAAATAAGAGTACAGGGAATTCGAATCGACCTAGCTAGCCATGCACTCTAAGGGGTACATTCCCTTATTCAAATTCATTCCCAACCGTGCGGCGCGTACAGTTACGAAACTGTTCCCGCCAAAACCCTCCTGCCTGCAGCTGCCCGATGCCGTCTGCTTCCGACGGTCCAGATGCGTTCAACCGTCTGCGACGCTTCGAGTCAGTTTTGACTCTTCTCATTCATTCTCGTTACTGCGTGCTTCTTTAGCTGCGGTGAGGAGTGCACAGTAGTGTTCTGATGTTACTATTCGTAACAGTAGTTACAGGGTAGCACAAGGCCTAAAACCAATTCCCGATGCATATGTACAGATACATGTTAGGCCCACCCTTGTCAATGTGATCACTCACCCCACGCTGTAAGGCGCAAACCCATTGAGAGATAAAAAGACATGGAATCTGCTCGTCATTCATAGTCTCTAATCCCCCCGCTAACCACCATGCCTCGCCTTTACCACCGTGTGCAGCTCGGCCTGCCGATCAAAAGGGCAATTTGCGCCCACCACGTTGCAAACCCTCAGGTTGGGGGACTCAAACGCGCATCAGGTGTAGTTCGCCCTTGCCCAATTGCTTCAGGAAAAGAAAGCCACCTCGCGACAACCAATAATGGTCGGTGAGGTACCGCTTGTTATCTGACGGTTATGTGCGTGAAAGAACGTTTAAGTGCGGCGCGTCCACAAAGGTTGAGATTTGTGTACAGTATTCGATGGCGTCAGGTCGTCGTTCGACCAATCTCCAAGGCTTGACTGATTGGCGGATTTCATTTTCGATGCCCTGACATGAAACATTGTTTTGACCGATCTCGTGACCCGGTTCCCGACAGGGCCTATTTCTCGACACAATTCAAGACTAGGGGCTGTAAAGTGCTGAGACGAGAGTTACGCGACCTGTAGGGGGTAGAATGTTATTGAGCGGGAAGTTGAGGGATGTGTGAACTTCTGCTGTAGGTTCTTTACGTTCTCACTAGGTGCTCCGCAGTTTAAAACGGCTGAAAGAAAACAGTTTCCTAGGTGCACTCGGAGCCCTCAGAAAATGAATTAGCAGTCCCCGAGAAACTCAAGTACCGCTTGATACAATGAACTTACAAATGAATCGAGTCAAGCCGTTTCAGCTCTCTCAAAAGTCATTGCTGTGGATTGAACACGGAGTGAGTCGCAGCGCCGTTTCCTCTTCCTGCTTCAAACTTCTTTCTCCCATCCTCCCCCCAACTACCACCACTACCTAGCTACTGCATTTGTGGCAAGACTCCATGCTATGTGAAATTCCTGAAGGGGCACCAAGAGTTCATTCTCTATTCACTCTATTGACGATTGCATAGGTAAAGATTTATCCGCCAAGACCGCAGAAATTTAAACGCCAGTGTCAAAGGCTGCCTTGCGTCCTCTTACCCCGTTCTTGACCCTCTGTTTGATATTTTAGGGTTTCGTCTCCCCGTATTTATCGATGCTCTGTTCGTAAATGCGTGTGCCGTGAAACCTCCACCATGGAGAGCGGGGTGGTGGAGGTCCAACAATCAAATATTTCCGGAGCTACTCAAGCCCGGGAAAATGGCATACTAGCGACGCAAGAAAGCCTTCAAGCACTGAACAATGTCGTTGATGACGTGGAAGGCCCGTTGGCTCCTGAAGAGCCAGACAAGCCGGCAGGCGGAAACGGAGAGCCGGACGAGAGCGAGCCGCAGGAAGAGCAGGAGCTTGTAGGTTACATCGGAGCGGCTAATGGCACGGGAATTCTGGCGGAATACGGGAGGGATGCTGACGCTGTCCGCGATGCGTTGCCGATGGCTCTCGAAAACTTACCACTTAATTTCGCCCAGTACTCCATTGTAAGTCTGTGAACCTTGGGAACCTAGAAAGCATAGGAAATACGCTTAAGACGTAATCAATCGGAATTTGTCCGCGGGACCTCTCCTGATCACGCTTAGAAGGCGAATAAAGCGCTTCTTTGCGAGTGTCGATAGCACTACCATTCGGAACCACCAAGGACCATCTGAGGAATAGTATTTCGCTATTTGTTTGAAATTAAGTTATTATTTTCAGCATGTCGGAAATGAAGCCCGTCTGACGGATTTACAGGTCTGTACATATTAGTATGAAGAGCTTTGTTCAATTCAATGTGACGCTCCTCATCTCGTTACGTGTTTGCTCTGTACTTCCTCTCTTTGGCCCGTCAATGCGTCATCTCTCGTGTACTCTTTTGATCGCTGTCAGTTTTTTCTAAATTGTTTATATATTTATTTTTATAACTTGTATAATGCTTCCAATCAATAATACGAAAGAAAGGTAATGGAAGTGAGAGCATGAACGTGTAGCTTGCTGGGGAGAGAACGGGGAGAGGAAGAAGAGAAGGAGCCTTGATGAGCACTCCTCGCTGCTGAGGGGCTTCTTATTACGCGTCACTAATTCTTCTCATTTGACTCAAACCACAACATTTTGAGTCGACTCAATACACAATATGAGTTCAGCAGTGTTCATCTGCTGAGAGGCTTCTTATTATTCGTCACTAATTCTTCAGGTGCACGTAATTAACTGTTTGGAAAAAAAAAAAAGAGAATAAAAGAAAAAAAGCAATCCCCCATCTCCCCCTTCGCCCTTCTTCCCCCTCTCCCCCCTCCTCCTCCTTCCTCGCCCTTCTTCTTCTTCTTCTGTTGTAATGGAGTCTCCTTTCCTAGTCCCACGCTCCCTTGCTTTCCTCTCCACCCTCCCTCCCGCCCTCGACCCCTCCTCTTAACCTCGGAAATACAGTCGGATATTCGTCTTGTCTGAAAGGCCTCCCTCCCTCTCCCTCCCTTCCCGTCCTTCATCTCTCAGGGATACAGTCGGATATTCGTCTTTTTTTAAAGGCACTTCTCCTCCAAGGCCCATGCCCTCCTCCTTCCCTTATTTCCCTCCAACTGATTCCATCCAGGGATACGGTCGCATGTTCGTCCTCTTTGAGAGGCCCAATCCAGGGCTGGTCCTCGTGCTGCTGGCATACAACTCGCTCTCCAAAGCCCACGCTCCCTTTTTCTCCTCCCTCCCCCACACACTTCGCCCTTTCCCACCCTCGACCCCCTCTCGTATCCTAAACTCAGGGATGCGGTCGCATATTCGTCCTCTTTGAGCAGCACAACACGGGGTTGGTCCTCGTGCTGCTGGGCTACTACAACCCGCTCTTACATTCTCTCTCTTACCCCCCTCCCCCTATCCTCCACCCTTATCCCTTCACTCATTCTCAGGGATACGGTCGGATGTTCGTCCTCTTTGAGAGGCACAATCCGGGGTTGGTCCTTGTGCTGCTGGGATACAACCCGCTCTCCAAATCCCAAGCCTGCGACCTTCTGACCAGCTTCTCCCAGGCGCTCGCTACAGTCACAGGGGTTACAATCACGCCCCACTCCTCCGCTACGGCCCTGAGCGGGTGGGGAGGATGGGAGGGGCGGGTGACGGAGGAGGGGCGGGTGATGCTGGGGGAAGTGCTTGCTGGGCTGACGAGTGGGGTTCGAGGCATCGTGGGATCGTCCATGGCTTGTGTGAAGAGGTGCGTTGCGGTGTGTCGGTGTGTGAAGAGATGCATTGCGGTGTGGAGGTGCGTGGGGCCGTGGAGGGACATTGTAACAAGGTGAGGCGTATGGGAGGGGCGGGTGACGGAGGAGGGGAGGGTGACGAGGAGGGGAGGGTGACGGAGGAGGGGAGGGTGACGCTGGGGGGGGGAGGCGCTGGCTGGGCTGACGAGTGGGGTTCGAGGCGTGGTGGGATCGTCCATGGCTTGCATGTGAAGACATGCGTTGCGGGGTGAAGAGGTGTGGAGAGATGTGTGTTGCGGTGTAAAGTGCCATTGTAACGAGGTGAGGTGAGCGTGTGGGAGGGGCGGATGATGCTGCGGGAGACTCTTGCTGGGCTGGCGAGTGGGGTTCCAGGCGTGGTGTATTCGTCGATGGCTTGCGTGAAGTGGTGCGTTGGGGTGTGGAGAGGTGCGGTGGGGCGTGGAGAGGTGCGGTGGGGGCGTGGAGAGGTGCGGTGGGGCGTGGAGAGGTGTGGTGGGGCGTGGAGAGGTGAGGAGGGGCGCGGAGAGGTGAGGTGGGGCGCGGAGAGGTGAGGTGGGGTGTGGAGAGGTGAGGTGGGGTGTGGGGAGTGCGTCTGGGTGTGAGAAGGTGCGTTGGGGTGTGGACGGATGCGTTGGGGCAAGAAGAGGTGCGGTGGGAAGGTCATGGCACTGGCATGGCTTGAATGGAACGACACTGTTTGTATTGAATGCATGATGGTTCGTCTATAAGGGGGGCAACCCAATCCAACGTTGATCTTTGCCTGCTTTGTAAATCCAATTGTGACCATTGCCTGCCCTGTAAATCCGATGGTGATTGTTTCCTGCCCTATTTGAAGCCACCCAATCATGCATGCCCGTTTGTGAGTCGACTCAATAAGAGCATTTTCTCACTCCTTCCCCTTTCTGATCATTTGTCAACCCACCACACCACAGGTACCCTGATGGGCCACAGGCGTATCTCGTGAATCCTGGCGGTGACTGCCCGATTCCCTTGGATGATGAGGAGGAGGACGAGGAGGAGGAGGAGGAGGAGGAGGAAGGAGAGTCGTTTCTCACCCTGTCCTCTTTTTATTGCAACTGTCAACCCCCCTCCAGGTACCCCGATGGGCCCCAGGCGTATCTCGTGAATCCTGACGGTGACTGCCCGATCCCATTAGATGATGACGATGAGGAGGACGAGGAGACGGAGGAGGAGAGGAAGGAGAGGAGGAAGAAGGAACGGGCGAGGCGGAAGGAGGCGAGGGAGAGGAGGGAGAAGATGATTGCTGAGAGTGAGAAAGGGGAGGGAGGGGAGGGGGAGAGTGGGGGAGGGAAGGAGGAGGGGGAGAAGGGGGGGAGAGAAGAGGAGGGGGGTAAGGCGAGGGAGGCAGGTGTGTCTGGGGCAGGTGTATCTGATGCGGCAGGGAAGATAGTTTTAGGGGTAGGTGCGGCTGCTGCTGTTGTGGCAGCAGGAGCAGGAGGGATAGCAGGAGGGATAGCAGGAGGAGATAGTGGGGTGCAGGTTGCAGGTGTGGCAGGGGAAGCATCTGTGCCTGATGCGGGTGCGAGCAGTGGTGGCATTAACACAGGTGGTGTGGGTGGCAGGGGTGGCAGCGGTGACGGCATGGTTTACAACAGGCATGGTGATGCCACGTACAAGCACCAGACGTTCCTGCAGTCGCAGCAGAATCAGGAGCAGCAGCAGCAGCAGGACCAGGATCAGGAGGAGGCGCAGCAGCAGCAGCAGCAGCAGCGCCAACAGCAGGAGCAATACCAGCAGCAGCACATGAATCAGCAAGCAGACGGCCAAGACGGGCCAAGAAACGACAGCAGCAGCCAGCACTCCCAGTTACACCTCCCCCTGGTGCAGCCGTCCCCACTCACTCCTGCAGGGTATGCAGGGTCGGACACAGAGGGGTACACACCGAGTGAGGAGAAACGGAAGCGATTCAACGCGGGTGGGTGGATTGGGAACCTGATTAAGGGAAAGGAACACAAGGAGCATGGGCAGCAGCAGCACGGGCAGCACGGGCAGCACGGGCAGCACGGGCAGGCACAATCGTTTGACCATGCCCATTCGCCTGCACATGCACAAGACCACCATGCAAACGAGCATGCTTTTGCACATTCACACTCCCACTCACGTGACCATGCGCATGGGCATGGCCTAGGCCTGTTCTCAGGGCATGGCAAGGCACATGCGCATGGCCATTCAAACGAGCATGAACATGGGCATGGGCATGGGCCGCATGGCGTGGGGCTGTTCTCAGGACATGGCAAGGCACATGCGTATGACCATTCAAACGAGCATGAGCATGAACATGGGCATGGGCCGCATGGCGTGGGGCTGTTCTCAGGACATGGCAAGGCGAAGCAGAAGCAGGAGAGTCACGTGGGCAGTGACTTTGTTGCGGCTGCTGCGGCCAGAGCCAGAGCTGCTGCTTCGGCGGCCGGAGGTCATAGTGAGAGGGCAGGTTCGGGGGCAGATGGGGGTTTGCCTGGTCATGCCAATGCACTTGGACATGGGCATGGGCATGGGGTTGGGGGCCAGGCAGAAGGGCAATCGCATGGGGCAGGGGGGACGCATGGACATGCCATGCATGGGTCAGCAGCGCATGATATGCATGTGTCACCAGGACATGGTGGTGTGCATGCATCGCCAGGGCATGGTGTTCATACGTCACCAGGGCATGGTGTGCATGTGTCACCAGGGCGAAAGCAGCATGAGCATGAGCAGGAGGGTGCGTATGAGCATGATAGCAGCCACCACAAGCATGGGGTTTTTGGTAACTGGGGCTTTAAGAATGGACCTGCACATTCACCTGCACATGACCATGCACACGCACACACACATGCACATGCAGTTCACCATGCGAACGATCATGGACACTCACGCTGGTCACATGAGCATGGGCATGAGCATGGGCATGGGCATGGCTTGGGGCTGTTTTCCGGGCAGAAGCATGCGAAGCAGAAGCAGGAGAGTCATGTGGGGAGTGACTTCGTTGCGGCTGCTGCGGCCCGAGCCAAAGCTGCTGCTTTGGCAGCCGCAGGTTCGGCAGCAGTTGGGGCCGGTAGCAGCTGCAGAGAAATCAGCTGCGACAGTGTGGAAAAGCATGGCCATGGGGATGGGCATGGGCATGGGGGTGGGCACATGGGTAAGGGAACCGTGGAGCCTCCATCTCCTGCTCATTCCTCCAGTTCTCAGCACAGCCAATCGCTCTCCAACACTTCTCCTCATCACCAGCAGCAACAGCAACTCCAGCCACAGCAGCAGCAGCAGGCTCAGAATCAGCAGCGCAAGCAGCAGCGCAAGGAGGAGAAGAAGACAGGCCGGCAGAGCAACGTGGGCAGCAGCCTTGTCTTTGCTGCAGCAGCCGCAGCCCGCCAGAAAGCCGAAGCAGCAGCAGCAGCAGCAGCAGGGGCGTCAGGGAGGCATCTAGGCTTGCCGCACACGGGCAGCACGGGCGGCACAGGCACAGGAACCCCGCATAGCTACCGCAGCGGCCCAGCCAGTGGGATGAACAGCGGCATCAACAGCGGGTTTGGCAGCGGGGCTGGGAGTAGCGGCAGCAGCACCCCTGTGAGTAGCCGAGGGGCGGAGGAGCAGGAGCAGGAGGTGGGGCTGATGCAGAGTGGGCAGAGCGGGCAGAGTGGGCAGAGTAGACTGCATCCCAGGGATGGGCCTGGGAATGAGAAGCGTGCTTACCAGCTCTCTATCCATGGTAGCAGCGGTGCTGCTAGTGCTACTGCTAGTGCTAGTGGTAGTGCTAGTGGTAGTGCTGGTGGTGCTTCTGCTGGTGCTGGTGATGGTACTGATGCTGATTCTGGTCTTGATGCCACGACTGGTGCTGGTTTGGGAGAAGGGGGTACTGGCAGTGGCAGCGGTAGTGGTAGACGGGAGGAGGAGAAGCAGCTGGAGTCGCAGTCTTCAGGTGGGGGTCAGGGCAAGGGTAAGGGGCTACTGTTTGGAATCAGCAAGTCTATAGGAGGTGCCAAGAGCAGGGAGGGCAAGGAGAAGAAGGAGAAGGAGAAGGGGAAGGAGAAGGAGAAGGAGAAGGAGAAGGAGAAGGAGAAGGAGAAGGAGAAAGAGAAGAGGAGGAAGGAGAAGGGAGAGAAGGAGAGTACTGTGGGGAGCAGCTTCGTGGCAGCTGCAGCAGCCAGAGCTGCAGCTGCTGCCGCCACCAAGGAGCAACTGGGAGCTGCTGCTGGGTCCAACGGAGTGGGAAGCGGTGCGGGACGGTTGGGAGCGGTGGGTGGGGTGGGAGGATCTATGGGGAGGATGAGTGTGGGGGGGAGTGTGCAGGGTAGTGTTGATAGTGGTGGTGCTGGTGGCAGTGTTAGTCGTAGTGGCAGTGTTGGTGGTGGTGGTGATGCTGGTGGTAGCAACAGGAACAGCACAGGGGTTCGAAGCAACAGGAGCAGCAGCAGCAGCAGCAGCAGCAGGAGCAGCAGTACCAGCAACAGTATCAGTATCAGCAGCAGCAGCAGGAGGGTGACGGGGACTCAGTAAGCGAGCGAGACACATTGTCAGAGCGAGGTGGGGAAGCGGATGATACCGAGGGAGAGAGCGTCGACGGGGAGAGCGTGGAAGGAGAGAGCACCGAAGGGGACCGAGGTGACGGAAACACCAGTGGCGGTGGCAGTGGCAGTGGTGGTGGAGGGAAGAAGGGGAAGAAGAAGGGGATGAAAAAAGCCGGCCTGCGGGGCTGGCTGACCAAGAAGCTGCATGCTTCCTCGTCCCTGCCGCCCGCTAGCCCGGAACGAGGGGCGTTGCCCGCCGCCCGGTCGAGCCCCGGCCGCCCGGGGGAGAGTCCGAGCCGCCCACGTGACAGTCCCGGCCGCCCGCTTGAGAGTCCTGGCCGCCCGTTTGAGTGTCCGGGCGGCTCACCCGGTAACGGTGGGGTTAGCCTGTCACATAACCGCGGGGGCTCCTGGGAAGGTGGGCTTGGGAGTTCTGGGGGTGCTGGGGGCAGTGGTCGTGCTGGTGAGGGGGTTGGTGAAGGGTGATGTCCTTGAGGGGTATTGTGAAGGGTGATGTCCTTGAGGGGTATTGTGAAGGGTGAGGGGTTGTGACTTCTTTAGAGGCCACAAAGTGACTGCACGCTGACAGACGTGCTGTTCAAGAGTCCGGGCGGCTCACCCAGTCACGGTGGGTCTAGCTTGTCTCATAACCGCGGGGGCTCCTGGGAAGGCGGGCTGGGGGGTTCTGGGGACGCTGGGGGCAGTGGCCGTGGTGGTGGTGGTGAAGGGGTTGGTAGCATTGTGGCTGTTGCGGAGGCCACAAAGTGACTACAGGCTGACAGGAGTCCGTGCGGCTCGCCCAATCACGGTGGGAATAGCCTCGCGCACGACTGAGGGGGCTCCTGTGATCGGGCTTGGGATCTTTAGGGGTGCCAGGGGCAGTGGCCGTAGTGGTGGTGAAGGGGCTGGTTCAGAGGAGAAAATGTGATTGCAGGCTGGCAGCAGTGCAGTCCTAGCTTCTCCCTCCCTCCCTCCCTTCCTCCCTCACTCCTCCCTTCACACTTGCCTATTGAAGTGCCTCAATATTACTGGTAGTGTGGCTGCTTCGGAGGGCACAATGTGACTGCAGACTCGCAGGAGTGCAGTCCCAGCTTCTCCCTTCACCCTCCCCCCCCCCTCCCCCCCCCTCTCTCTCTCTCTCACTCTCTCACTCTTCCCTTCACCACTGTCCCTCTGCTCACACCGCATTAAGCTTTGTGTTTTCCACTCCGGCTTCCCCTCCCCATCACTGTTCCCTCGACTCTCTTCCCTTCTCTCCCCTTCACTCGACCATCCTCTGCTCTGCTGTCCTCTTCCCCTTCCCTCCGACTTGTATTCTTTAGACTCGCCCATCTTGTTTACATCAGTTTGATGCGTTGTCCTTTCCTGGCCTACACTGGTAGGTGGCCTATACACCTTTCCTGGTTGGTGCAAGGGTTAAACAGGACCACTGACTCTTGGCTAACTGTGGGCCAGCAGCATTTGCTTCACATTTGCCCATTCTAAATGTGTGATCCTTGCTGTGCTGCAACATTGGCAGCACCAGATTTCATGCTACACAATATTTTTTTTAACAGCCTACATTATAGTACTGCATTTTATGACGCGGTACCGGTATATGAACTTTGTCAATGTGCCGCTTTTTAGCACTGCCACGGCAACATGTAACATACCGTACACCTTTTTTTAGTTTCTCTTACCTAACAACCTCTCTACATCCTTCCGTGAGTCCATTATTTAAAAAAACAAGACTAATAAATTTCTAAAACACGACGCAGCTCACACTCCCACGCATTTCTAAAACACAACGCTCTTATGAAGTACGGTAAGTTGCGAATCCAACAAAAAATAACTCGCCACTCATTCTCCGTTGATGCTCCAAGCTTTGTTAAAGCTCTGGTATACATTTGAAAGGAGGAGTTCAAAATCCTTATGAACTTGAAAAGTTGCCCAAAAACTGTAAGGCGCACAGTAAGACCCTGAACCTCCCTGACAAATGTATACTGGAGCTTTAAGCCCATTAAGACGCAATCAGATTCACTTCACTTGACACGACATTGATTCGGCTGGTTACAAATTACCGCGCCCAATGTCAATGGTTACAGCGTTTGTGAACTGCTGGTTACCACCTAGCTATCACTTGACACCAATCAACTCCACATCAAATTCAAGAGTGGCGTTGCCGGGAATCTTGGGAGGGGCCCCTCTGAACCCGTACCTGCAGGGATAAGACGAGTCAGATTTTCAGAGGAGTTGGTGGTGGTGAGTGAATGTTTGTAACACTTCAAAGCTGGATATTTAGGGAGCGTCGGAATGAGGAGACAGGTAGGCTTGTGGCCGTGGGTGAGTGGGTCGATGCAACCAGACAAGATCAAGCGGGTGCTGTGAGGCACACTGGCAGCAGGGGAGCATGGGGGCATGGGGGCATGACACATACCCGAGGGCAGGAGGGATGGTGAGGCGCCTCTTGTCACCAATTCGCATGCCTGCATGGCCAAGAGGGGTGCAGGGAAGGGCAAGACATGCAGAGGGGTGGGGCCCCGGGGAGAGAGAGATGGGAAAAATGCAGGCAGTGCAGGAGAAGGTGAGAAACAGGAAGAGCGATGCACATACATGCACAGATGCACACACCTGCACAGATGCACACACATGTACATGCACAGATGCACACACATGTACATGCACAGATGCACACACATGTACATGCACAGATGCACACACATGTACATGCACAGATGCACACACATGTACATGCACAGATGCACACACATGTACATGCACAGATGCACACACATGTACATGCACAGATGCACACACATGTACATGCACAGATGCACACACATGTACATGCACAGATGCACACACATGTACATGCACAGATGCACACACATGTACATGCACAGATGCACACACATGTACATGCACAGATGCACACACATGTACATGCACAGATGCACACACATGTACATGCACAGATGCACACACATGTACATGCACAGATGCACACACATGTACATGCACAGATGCACACACATGTACATGCACAGATGCACACCTGCACACCAGCACACCCACTCACCCATCCAAAACTCACAACCCACACCAACCCACCCCCATCCCCTCCCTGCCTTAAGACCAACAACATGTTGTAATTTCATAATTTGTACAACATACATAGGCTAGAATTAGATCTGTAGTACACTTATAAATTGGGGGTTGTTTAGTGTACCCTCCAACCACATTTTGTGGTTGGTTGGGATTGGTCCCTAGCTCAACCAATCCCAACCAACACACATTTGTGGTTGCTTGGGTCACAAGCAAGCTCACCCATTGGCCAACTTATTGGCCAATAGGGTAAGCTTCCCTTTCATCTCTCTCTTGCTCATTGTTTGTACTAAAGGGCCTCTTGGCTCATTATTCAATGTATCTCTTCTAGCTTTTCAACATGGTATCATGAGCTATTGGCTCACGCCTTAATCCCTCGATCCTAAGGCCACCCTCTCCTCCCCGTCCCTCAGACCTAGTCCTACTACGGTGCTCCCAAGCTCAGATCTACTCCTCTCGAGCTCCGATCTACTCCTCCCGAGCTCACATCTACTCGTCCCAAGCTCAGATCTACTCCTCCCAAGCTCACATCTACTCCTCCCGAGCTCAGATCTATCCCCCCCGAGCTCAGATCTACTCCTCCCAAGCTCACATCTACTCCTCCCGAGCTCAGATCTACTCCTCCCGAGCTCAGATCTACTCCTCCCGAGCTCACATCTACTCCTCCCGAGCTCAGATCTACTCCTCCCGAGCTCAGATCTACTCCTCCCGAGCTCACATCTACTCCTCCCGAGCTTAGATCTACTCCTCCCGAGCTCACATCTATTCCTCCCCGTTCCTCAGATCTAGCCCCACCCACGGAGCTGCCCTCCCTTCACGCACCCTTAAGGCGCTGTCCTCCCTCCCCGTGCGCCCCCTAAGGCGCTGCCCTCCAAGGCACGTCCAGATCTGCAACTCCAGCGCCCAGATCTGCATTCCCCGCGCTCAGATCTGCAACTCCAGCGCCCAGATCTGCATTCCCCGCGCTCAGATCTGCAACTCCAGCGCCCAGATCTGCACTCCCTGCGACCAGATCTACTCCTCCCGCGCCTAGATCTGATCATTCCGCGCCCAGATCTGGATTCCGCGCCACCAGATCTCCTCCTCCCGCGCCCAGATCTGAACATTTCGCACCCAGATCTGCACTCCGCGCGCCCAGATCTGCACTCCGCCCACCCAGATCTGCCCTCCGCACGTCCAGATCTGCACTCCGCACGCCCAGATCTGCCCTCCGCGCGCCCAGATCTGCCCTCCGCGCGACCAGATCTGCATCTCCCGCGCTGAAATCTGACCATTTCGTGCCCATCTCTGCTCGTCCGCGCCCTGCCCGTCCGCACGCCCTGCTCGTCCGCGCCCTGCCCGTCCGCGCGCTCTGCTCGTCCGCGCCCTGCCCGTCCGCGCGCCCTGCTCGTCCGCGCCCTCCCCGTCCGCGCACTCGTCGCACGCCCTCCTTCCCCGCTCGCTGTCCCCCGTCCCCTCGTCCGCCCCCTGCCCACCTCCCCGGCATACCGCACATTTGCAAACGCATACCGCACACCTTCATGCCCTGCTCGCCTGCGCCATGCCGTAACCGCCCACACTCACATTGCTCCCTCCATGGCAATAGTCGCCCTGGCATGCAGCAGAAGTGGTGCCGGTGGGCATGGAGGAGGGCATAGTGGTAGCTGTGGTGGTGGTCAAGGGAGACTCGCAGGATATTGTGGTATCAGGGGTTTGAGCGCAGGCTGCGGCGCAGCAGCAGCCTTCTCTCCTCGTGAATATGTGCCTCGCTATGGCCCGACTCGGGGACTTCAGTGCAAAATCTCCACCCAAGCCCACCATGCCCCGAGTCCACCCTTCTCTCCTCCTCCTCCTCAGCAGCAGCAGCAGCAGCAGCAGCAGCAGCAGCAGCAGCAGCAGCAGCAGCAGCAGCGGCAGCGGCAGCGGCAGCGGCAGCAGCAGCAGCAGCAGCAGCAGCAGCACCGGCACCAGCAGCAGCAGCAGCACCAGCAGCAGCAGCAGCAGCAGCAGCAGCAGCAGCAGCAGCAGCAGCAGCAGCAGCAGCAGCAGCACCAGCACCAGCAGCTCTGGCACCTCCTCCTCCAGCTCCAGCAGTTGCTTCACCGCCTGCAGCAGCACCTTAGCGCACAAGCGCAGCTGCCTCTTCCTCCTCCTCCCCCAACTTCCCAGCAGAACTCAGTTCCGCATTGTTCCACAAGCTCCGCCACTTCAAGCAATGTCCCACCTCTCTCATCCGTTGGTATTGCTGGTATTTTTTTTAACAGCCTACATTATAGTACTGCATTTTATGACGCGGTACCGGTATATGAACTTTGTCAATGTGCCGCTTTTTAGCACTGCCACGGCAGCATGTAACATACCGTACACCTTTTTTTAGTTTCTCTTACCTAACAACCTCTCTACATCCTTCCGTGAGTCCATTATTTAAAAAAACAAGACTAATAAATTTCTAAAACACGACGCAGCTCACACTCCCACGCATTTCTAAAACACAACGCTCTTATGAAGTACGGTAAGTTGCGAATCCAACAAAAAATAACTCGCCACTCATTCTCCGTTGATGCTCCAAGCTTTGTTAAAGCTCTGGTATACATTTGAAAGGAGGAGTTCAAAATCCTTATGAACTTGAAAAGTTGCCCAAAAACTGTAAGGCGCACAGTAAGACCCTGAACCTCCCTGACAAATGTATACTGGAGCTTTAAGCCCATTAAGACGCAATCAGATTCACTTCACTTGACACGACATTGATTCGGCTGGTTACAAATTACCGCGCCCAATGTCAATGGTTACAGCGTTTGTGAACTGCTGGTTACCACCTAGCTATCACTTGACACCAATCAACTCCACATCAAATTCAAGAGTGGCGTTGCCGGGAATCTTGGGAGGGGCCCCTCTGAACCCGTACCTGCAGGGATAAGACGAGTCAGATTTTCAGAGGAGTTGGTGGTGGTGAGTGAATGTTTGTAACACTTCAAAGCTGGATATTTAGGGAGCGTCGGAATGAGGAGACAGGTAGGCTTGTGGCCGTGGGTGAGTGGGTCGATGCAACCAGACAAGATCAAGCGGGTGCTGTGAGGCACACTGGCAGCAGGGGAGCATGGGGGCATGGGGGCATGACACATACCCGAGGGCAGGAGGGATGGTGAGGCGCCTCTTGTCACCAATTCGCATGCCTGCATGGCCAAGAGGGGTGCAGGGAAGGGCAAGACATGCAGAGGGGTGGGGCCCCGGGGAGAGAGAGATGGGACAAATGCAGGCAGTGCAGGAGAAGGTGAGAAACAGGAAGAGCGATGCACATACATGCACAGATGCACACACATGTACATGCACAGATGCACACACATGTACAGATGCACACACATGTACATGCACAGATGCACACACATGTACATGCACAGATGCACACACATGTACATGCACAGATGCACACACATGTACATGCACAGATGCACACACATGTACATGCACAGATGCACACACATGTACATGCACAGATGCACACACATGTACATGCACAGATGCACACACATGTACATGCACAGATGCACACACATGTACATGCACAGATGCACACACATGTACATGCACAGATGCACACACATGTACATGCACAGATGCACACACATGTACATGCACAGATGCACACACATGTACATGCACAGATGCACACACATGTACATGCACAGATGCACACCTGCACACCAGCACACCCACTCACCCATCCAAAACTCACAACCCACACCAACCCACCCCCATCCCCTCCCTGCCTTAAGACCAACGACATGTTGTAATTTCATAATTTGTACAACATACATAGGCTAGAATTAGATCTGTAGTACACTTATAAATTGGGGGTTGTTTAGTGTACCCTCCAACCACATTTTGTGGTTGGTTGGGATTGGTCCCTAGCTCAACCAATCCCAACCAACACACATTTGTGGTTGCTTGGGTCACAAGCAAGCTCACCCATTGGCCAACTTATTGGCCAATAGGGTAAGCTTCCCTTTCATCTCTCTCTTGCTCATTGTTTGTACTAAAGGGCCTCTTGGCTCATTATTCAATGTATCTCTTCTAGCTTTTCAACATGGTATCATGAGCTATTGGCTCACGCCTTAATCCCTCGATCCTAAGGCCACCCTCTCCTCCCCGTCCCTCAGACCTAGTCCTACTACGGTGCTCCCAAGCTCAGATCTACTCCTCTCGAGCTCCGATCTACTCCTCCCGAGCTCACATCTACTCGTCCCAAGCTCAGATCTACTCCTCCCAAGCTCACATCTACTCCTCCCGAGCTCAGATCTATCCCCCCCGAGCTCAGATCTACTCCTCCCAAGCTCACATCTACTCCTCCCGAGCTCAGATCTACTCCTCCCGAGCTCAGATCTACTCCTCCCGAGCTCACATCTACTCCTCCCGAGCTCAGATCTACTCCTCCCGAGCTCAGATCTACTCCTCCCGAGCTCACATCTACTCCTCCCGAGCTTAGATCTACTCCTCCCGAGCTCACATCTATTCCTCCCCGTTCCTCAGATCTAGCCCCACCCACGGAGCTGCCCTCCCTTCACGCACCCTTAAGGCGCTGTCCTCCCTCCCCGTGCGCCCCCTAAGGCGCTGCCCTCCAAGGCACGTCCAGATCTGCAACTCCAGCGCCCAGATCTGCATTCCCCGCGCTCAGATCTGCAACTCCAGCGCCCAGATCTGCATTCCCCGCGCTCAGATCTGCAACTCCAGCGCCCAGATCTGCACTCCCTGCGACCAGATCTACTCCTCCCGCGCCTAGATCTGATCATTCCGCGCCCAGATCTGGATTCCGCGCCACCAGATCTCCTCCTCCCGCGCCCAGATCTGAACATTTCGCACCCAGATCTGCACTCCGCGCGCCCAGATCTGCACTCCGCCCACCCAGATCTGCCCTCCGCACGTCCAGATCTGCACTCCGCACGCCCAGATCTGCCCTCCGCGCGCCCAGATCTGCCCTCCGCGCGACCAGATCTGCATCTCCCGCGCTGAAATCTGACCATTTCGTGCCCATCTCTGCTCGTCCGCGCCCTGCCCGTCCGCACGCCCTGCTCGTCCGCGCCCTGCCCGTCCGCGCGCTCTGCTCGTCCGCGCCCTGCCCGTCCGCGCGCCCTGCTCGTCCGCGCCCTCCCCGTCCGCGCACTCGTCGCACGCCCTCCTTCCCCGCTCGCTGTCCCCCGTCCCCTCGTCCGCCCCCTGCCCACCTCCCCGGCATACCGCACATTTGCAAACGCATACCGCACACCTTCATGCCCTGCTCGCCTGCGCCATGCCGTAACCGCCCACACTCACATTGCTCCCTCCATGGCAATAGTCGCCCTGGCATGCAGCAGAAGTGGTGCCGGTGGGCATGGAGGAGGGCATAGTGGTAGCTGTGGTGGTGGTCAAGGGAGACTCGCAGGATATTGTGGTATCAGGGGTTTGAGCGCAGGCTGCGGCGCAGCAGCAGCCTTCTCTCCTCGTGAATATGTGCCTCGCTATGGCCCGACTCGGGGACTTCAGTGCAAAATCTCCACCCAAGCCCACCATGCCCCGAGTCCACCCTTCTCTCCTCCTCCTCCTCAGCAGCAGCAGCAGCAGCAGCAGCAGCAGCAGCAGCAGCAGCAGCAGCAGCAGCAGCAGCAGCAGCAGCAGCAGCAGCAGCAGCAGCAGCAGCGGCAGCGGCAGCGGCAGCGGCAGCAGCAGCAGCAGCAGCAGCAGCAGCAGCAGCAGCAGCAGCAGCACCGGCACCAGCAGCAGCAGCAGCACCAGCAGCAGCAGCAGCAGCAGCAGCAGCAGCAGCAGCAGCAGCAGCAGCAGCAGCAGCAGCAGCAGCAGCAGCAGCACCAGCACCAGCACCAGCAGCTTTGGCACCTCCTCCTCCAGCTCCAGCAGTTGCTTCACCGCCTGCAGCAGCACCTTAGCGCACAAGCGCAGCTGCCTCTTCCTCCTCCTCCCCCAACTTCCCAGCAGAACTCAGTTCCGCATTGTTCCACAAGCTCCGCCACTTCAAGCAATGTCCCACCTCTCTCATCCGTTGGTATTGCTGGTATTTTTTTTAACAGCCTACATTATAGTACTGCATTTTATGACGCGGTACCGGTATATGAACTTTGTCAATGTGCCGCTTTTTAGCACTGCCACGGCAACATGTAACATACCGTACACCTTTTTTTAGTTTCTCTTACCTAACAACCTCTCTACATCCTTCCGTGAGTCCATTATTTAAAAAAACAAGACTAATAAATTTCTAAAACACGACGCAGCTCACACTCCCACGCATTTCTAAAACACAACGCTCTTATGAAGTACGGTAAGTTGCGAATCCAACAAAAAATAACTCGCCACTCATTCTCCGTTGATGCTCCAAGCTTTGTTAAAGCTCTGGTATACATTTGAAAGGAGGAGTTCAAAATCCTTATGAACTTGAAAAGTTGCCCAAAAACTGTAAGGCGCACAGTAAGACCCTGAACCTCCCTGACAAATGTATACTGGAGCTTTAAGCCCATTAAGACGCAATCAGATTCACTTCACTTGACACGACATTGATTCGGCTGGTTACAAATTACCGCGCCCAATGTCAATGGTTACAGCGTTTGTGAACTGCTGGTTACCACCTAGCTATCACTTGACACCAATCAACTCCACATCAAATTCAAGAGTGGCGTTGCCGGGAATCTTGGGAGGGGCCCCTCTGAACCCGTACCTGCAGGGATAAGACGAGTCAGATTTTCAGAGGAGTTGGTGGTGGTGAGTGAATGTTTGTAACACTTCAAAGCTGGATATTTAGGGAGCGTCGGAATGAGGAGACAGGTAGGCTTGTGGCCGTGGGTGAGTGGGTCGATGCAACCAGACAAGATCAAGCGGGTGCTGTGAGGCACACTGGCAGCAGGGGAGCATGGGGGCATGGGGGCATGACACATACCCGAGGGCAGGAGGGATGGTGAGGCGCCTCTTGTCACCAATTCGCATGCCTGCATGGCCAAGAGGGGTGCAGGGAAGGGCAAGACATGCAGAGGGGTGGGGCCCCGGGGAGAGAGAGATGGGAAAAATGCAGGCAGTGCAGGAGAAGGTGAGAAACAGGAAGAGCGATGCACATACATGCACAGATGCACACACATGTACATGCACAGATGCACACACATGTACATGCACAGATGCACACACATGTACATGCACAGATGCACACACATGTACATGCACAGATGCACACACATGTACATGCACAGATGCACACACATGTACATGCACAGATGCACACACATGTACATGCACAGATGCACACACATGTACATGCACAGATGCACACACATGTACATGCACAGATGCACACACATGTACATGCACAGATGCACACACATGTACATGCACAGATGCACACACATGTACATGCACAGATGCACACACATGTACATGCACAGATGCACACACATGTACATGCACAGATGCACACACATGTACATCTACAGATGCACACACATGTACGTGCACAGATGCACACACATGTACATGCACAGATGCACACCTGCACACCAGCACACCCACTCACCCATCCAAAACTCACAACCCACACCAACCCACCCCCGTCCCCTCCCTGCCTTAAGACCAACAACACACCCCTCTCCCCCCTTTATCTCACTGCCCTCCTCTCCCCCCCTCTCCCCCCTTTCTCTCACAGCCCTCCTCTCCACCCCTCTGCCCCCTTTCTCTCACTGCCCTCCTCTCCCCCCCTCTCCCCCTTTCTCTCACTGCCCTCCGCACACACATACCTTTGACGCCGATGTCCCAACCCTTGATCACTTCTCCCACGCCTGGTAATGGAAAGGACATGTAATGGAGATGGAGAGGACATGGATAGAAGACGGAGAAAAAGAGTTGACTTTTGAGTCGACTCAAAAGTCAACTCGTCTGGTAATGGAGAGGACATGGATAGAAGATGGAACAAAAGAGTCAGGCTAAAACGATTGTTTTACCAAGAAGAGTCACGCCGAGGCAGTCGCATGGTAGCCACCAAGAGAGCACTCACACTGAGAGCACTCACACTGAGAGCACTCACACAGAGGGCGGGTCAAACTTTGCACATGTACGGTTTATTTGCAGCTCAGTTACCAAAAATAGGCATGTAACAGAACTTTTAACGTACTAAATCCGTTTGACGCGAGACTGTACATAAATGAGCTCATTTCGGAAACATGCCCCGGGACGTGCGGAACACATCCGCAGGTTCGTCTCCCAAATCGCTTCCCGTCATAGTCGTCAAACAGTAACGCCCGTTTTTTCGCCAAAACCCTTTCGCCATGATGTTATTCCCTTCGCCGTGGATGCGGAAACCCTCGCAACATTTGGTAACCCCTCCCACGGTGCTGTACCTCGCAACGTTAATGTACCTTGTCAAAAGTCCGCACTGTACACTCCGAACTGGACAGGAAACGTCAGGACTACGCCCTGGGGTACAGTCAAATGTGACAAGTGTGTTGACGTAAAAGTAACGAAAAAAGCGGGAGTGTGCAAAGTTGGACCCGCCCTGAGAGCACTCACACTGAGAGCACTCACACGGAGAGCACTCACACTGAGAGCACGCACGCTGAAAGCACTCACACTGAGAGCACGCACGCTGAAAGCACTCACACTGAGAGCACGCACGCTGAAAGCACTCACACTGAGAGCACTCACCGCGACAATTTCGGAGATGTGGAAAATAAACAAACAGCTACATAGTGGCATGAGAGCACTGACCGAGACGGAAGGCAAATGGTTGGGGATGGGTGAGGTTGGAATCAAAGACCTTTCCATTCTTCTTCAAACGGCCGATGTACCTCATCATAACCTGCGGGTCGGGCCAGGGAATAAGAGGAAGGAGCGGTAGATGAAGGTGGGGAGTGCAGTGCAGTGACCACAAGGATGGGTGGGATAGGAGTAAAAAATCTACGGATCTGTGCTCATGAAGAAGGGCAGCAGTAGCAAGGTCGCCGTGGGACCTTGCCTACTGCTGCCCTTCTTCATGAGCACAGACCACAAGGATGGGTGAGAGATTGGAGTCAAAAGCCTTTCTACTCTTCTTGAGGCGACCAATGTACCTCATCAGCACCTGAGGTGACAGGGAGTCGGGGGGTTCGAGATTAAGGAAGGAGGGAGGAAGAAGGGGGTGGAGGAATGGGCGCGGTTGGAGTCAAAAACCTTGCCGTTCTTCTTGAGTCGGCGGCCAATGTACCTTATCATCACCTGCGGGGCAGGGGGGATGGGTTGGGGGAGAGGATTTGGTGGTTGGGGGAAGGGGGGCGGGGAATAGGTTGGACGGGTGCAATTGGAGTGAAAGACCTTGCCGTTCTTTCTTGAGGTGACTGATGTACCTCATCATCACCTGAGGGGCGGTTGAGGGGGGTGTGTGGTGTGGTGTGGAGGGGGGATTAGATGACTGAGATATATGGCAGGTGTTGGAGAATTCTCAAACACAAGATGGCAGATAGCATCACTCAATTCAGGCTGCAATTCCGGACAGCCCAGCTACAGCATCTGTTCCACCTCCATGCCACTCACCAAGTTAATGACCCTCAACATAATTTTACTCAACATAAGCTATGAACATAATTTTACTCAACATAAGCTAATGAACATAATTTTACTCAGCATAAGCCAATGAACATAATTTCACTCAAGGCCCTCAACAACATCACGCGGGGAACATGACAGCGCAAGCACACTCACCTAAGCGCTCACCTCTCCCCTTCCACCCATCTCACCCTTTTCCCCGGCTCGGCCACCTTCCCATCCGGCTTGCCCATTGCTAGCTCCTCCACCGCCATGCGCTCTTACACCCTCCTTGACCCGACTTACGAGTACCCAAACGTACTGACAGCAAGCACACTCCTATCCCATCTCACCTTCTTCCCCGGTTCAGCCACCTTCCCGTCCGGCTTGCCCATTGCTAGCTCCTCCACTCCACCTCCATGCCTCCCGGAAATACCCTCTCGAGGTGCATCAGAATAACCACACCACACCACTTGAGAACATGCCAGCAAACACACACCCCATCCCTTCTTCCTCACCTTTTTCCCCGGCTCAGCCACTTTCCCATCGGGCTTCCCCATGCTAAGCTCCTCCACCTCCATGCCTCCTGGAAACACCCTCTTCCTTGTCTTCCCCTGCTTCTCCTCCCCTGCTCCTGGCGACTCTCCTGCTGCTCCGGCTGCTGCTTGCTTTGCCTTTGCCCACGCCTCTCCCTCCTGCTTTTTCTTCTTTGCCTCCTCTTCCTTTTTCTTCTTCTCCTGTTCTTGCTTCTTATTCTTCCTCTCCTCTTCCGCTTGCTTCTTTTTCGCTCGCTCCTCCTCCTGCTTCTTCTTCTTCTTCTCTTCCTCAGCCTTCTTTTTCTGCTCCGCCTGCTTTGCCTTGGCATCCCTGAGGGGATATAAAAAAAAAGTGGAGAGGAGTAGAGACGAAGGAACGATGGGAGTAAAAAGTGGAGGAAAGATAAGAGGGATATGCTGGAATCACATTTTGAAATTCTAAATATAATAATAATAATAATAATAATAACAATAATAATAATAATAATAATAATAAAGGGAGGGAATTTAGAGATTTCTCAGATGTGACTGAACAAAAGACAATGGGTAAACGGAGATGGTGAGTGGACAGTAAGAAAGGGGTCAGTGGGGAAGGGGTCAGTCGGGATATGGGTCAGTGGTCATACTTTTGCTCGGCCACACGACTCTTCTTTCCGGGTGGTGCCGCTGCTGCTGCTTCCCCTCCTGCTGCGCCCGCCTCTCCTTTCCTCTTCTCCGCCCCTGTTGCCCCTGCCGCTGCCCCCTTCCCCTGCTCCTGCCCCTTCTCCTGCTGTCCCTGCTGCTTCTTATCCTTTGCAGCGCCCCTATTCCCCTTGGCAGTGCCGCCAGCAGCAGCATTGGGCTCCTGAACCACGGGTTCCGCGTTTGGGAGAGCTGCTACAGCCGCTACAGCCGCCTTCCCTGCTGCCTGCTCCTCGTCCGTAATTTCCACTATACGCACTGGAAGTATTGGGAGGGAGGAGGCGGGGAGAGGGGGAAAGACAAAGCCAAGCTGTACAAAGGGCTGCTATGGCCGCCTTCCCTGCTGTCTGCTCCTCGTCCGTAATTTCCACTACACGCACTGGAAGGAGGGGGGAGGGGGGGAAAGGAAAGGAGGGACAAAACCAAGATGGGCAAAGGCTGCTAGAGCCGCCCTCCCTGCTGCCTGCTCCTCGTCCTCCGTGATCTCCACTATACGCACTGGAAGGGGGAAGGGGGAGGGAGGTGGGGATAAGGGGAAGACAAAGCCAAGATGTGCAACGGGCAACCACCTTTTGAGGCGCCTCAAAAGGCTGCTACAGCCGCTACAGCTGCCTTCCCTGCTGCCTGCTCCTCGTCCGTGATCTCCACTATACGCACTGGAAGGGGGAAGGAGAAAGACGGGGGGGTAAGAAATTGGGAGAGTGGTGGGGAGTAGGTACTGAGTGGTGGGGAGTAGGTACTGAGTGGTGGGGAGTAGGTACTGAGTGGTGGGGAGTAGAGTAGGTACTGAGTGGTGGGGAGTAGCGTAGGTACTGAGTGGTGGGGAGTAGGCACTGAGTGGTGGGGAGTAGGCACTGAGTGGTGGGGAGTAGGCACTGAGTGGTGGGGAGTAGGCACTGAGTGGTGGGGAGTAGGTACTGAGTGGTGGGGAGTAGAGTAGGTACTGAGTGGTGGGGAGTAGGTACTGAGTGGTGGGGAGTAGGTACTGAGTGGTGGGGAGTAGGTACTGAGTGGTGGGGAGTAGAGTAGGTACTGAGTGGTGGGGAGTAGCGTAGGTACTGAGTGGTGGGGAGTAGGCACTGAGTGGTGGGGAGTAGGCACTGAGTGGTGGGGAGTAGGTACTGAGTGGTGGGGAGTAGGTACTGAGTGGTGGGGAGTAGAGTAGGTACTGAGTGGTGGGGAGTAGGTACTGAGTGGTGGGGAGTAGGTACTGAGTGGTGGGGAGTAGGTACTGAGTGGTGGGGAGTAGAGTAGGTACTGAGTGGTGGGGAGTAGGTACTGAGTGGTGGGGAGTAGGTACTGAGTGGTGGGGAGTAGAGTAGGTACTGAGTGGTGGGGAGTAGGTACTGAGTGGTGGGGAGTAGAGTAGGTACTGAGTGGTGGGGAGTAGGCACTGAGTGGTGGGGAGTAGGTACTGAGTGGTGGGGAGTAGAGTAGGTACTGAGTGGTGGGGAGTAGGCACTGAGTGGTGGGGAGTAGAGTAGGTACTGAGTGGTGGGGAGTAGGTACTGAGTGGTGGGGAGTAGGTACTGAGTGGTGGGGAGTAGAGTAGGTACTGAGTGGTGGGGAGTAGGTACTGAGTGGTGGGGAGTAGGTACTGAGTGGTGGGGAGTAGAGTAGGTACTGAGTGGTGGGGAGTAGGTACTGAGTGGTGGGGAGTAGGTACTGAGTGGTGGGGAGTAGAGTAGGTACTGAGTGGTGGGGAGTAGGTACTGAGTGGTGGGGAGTAGGCACTGAGTGGTGGGGAGTAGGTACTGAGTGGTGGGGAGTAGGTACTGAGTGGTGGGGAGTAGGTACTGAGTGGTGGGGAGTAGAGTAGGTACTGAGTGGTGGGGAGTAGGTACTGAGTGGTGGGGAGTAGGTACTGAGTGGTGGGGAGTAGAGTAGGTACTGAGTGGTGGGGAGTAGGTACTGAGTGGTGGGGAGTAGGTACTGAGTGGTGGGGAGTAGAGTAGGTACTGAGTGGTGGGGAGTAGGTACTGAGTGGTGGGGAGTAGGTACTGAGTGGTGGGGAGTAGAGTAGGTACTGAGTGGTGGGGAGTAGGTACTGAGTGGTGGGGAGTAGGTACTGAGTGGTGGGGAGTAGGTACTGAGTGGTGGGGAGTAGAGTAGGTACTGAGTGGTGGGGAGTAGGTACTGAGTGGTGGGGAGTAGGTACTGAGTGGTGGGGAGTAGAGTAGGTACTGAGTGGTGGGGAGTAGGTACTGAGTGGTGGGGAGTAGAGTAGGTACTGAGTGGTGGGGAGTAGGCACTGAGGTGACTTTGAGTCGACTAAAGAAATCACGAAGAGGTGGGGAGAACGTTGTGCGGGGCAGGGAAATAAGAAGAACGTTGTGCGGAGCAGGGAAATAAGAAGAACGTTGTGCGGAGCAGGGAAATAAGAAGAACGTTGTGCGGAGCAGGGAAATAAGAAGAACGTTGTGCGGAGCAGGGAAATAAGAAGAACGTTGTGCGGAGCAGGGAAATAAGAAGAACGTTGTGCGGAGCAGGGAAATAAGAAGAACGTTGTGCGGAGCAGGGAAATAAGAAGAACGTTGTGCGGAGCAGGGAAATAAGAAGAACGTTGTGCGGAGCAGGGAAATAAGAAGAACGCTGTGCGGAGCAGGGAAATAAGAAGAACGTTGTGCGGAGCAGGGAAATAAGAAGAACGCTGTGCGGGGCAGGGAAATAAGAAGAACGCTGTGCGGGGCAGGGAAATAAGAAGAACGCTGTGCGGGGCAGGGAAATAAGAAGAACGCTGTGCGGGGCAGGGAAATAAGAAGAACGCTGTGCGGGGCAGGGAAACAAGAAGAACGCTGTGCGGGGCAGGGAAATAAGAAGAACGTTGTGCGGAGCAGGGAAATAAGAAGAACGTTGTGCGGAGCAGGGAAATAAGAAGAACGCTGTGCGGAGCAGGGAAATAAGAAGAACGCTGTGCGGGGCAGGGAAATAAGAAGAACGCTGTGCGGGGCAGGGAAATAAGAAGAACGCTGTGCGGGGCAGGGAAATAAGAAGAACGCTGTGCGGGGCAGGGAAATAAGAAGAACGCTGTGCGGGGCAGGGAAATAAGAAGAACGCTGTGCGGGGCAGGGAAATAAGAAGAACGCTGTGCGGGGCAGGGAAATAAGAAGAACGTTGTGCGGAGCAGGGAAATAAGAAGAACGTTGTGCGGAGCAGGGAAATAAGAAGAACGTTGTGCGGAGCAGGGAAATAAGAAGAACGCTGTGCGGGGCAGGGAAATAAGAAGAACGCTGTGCGGGGCAGGGAAATAAGAAGAACGCTGTGCGGGGCAGGGAAATAAGAAGAACGCTGTGCGGGGCAGGGAAATAAGAACGCTGTGCGGGGCAGGGAAATAAGAAGAACGCTGTGCGGGGCAGGGAAATAAGAAGAACGTTGTGCGGGGCAGGGAAATAAGAAGAACGTTGTGCGGAGCAGGGAAATAAGAAGAACGTTGTGCGGAGCAGGGAAATAAGAAGAACGCTGTGCGGAGCAGGGAAATAAGAAGAACGCTGTGCGGGGCAGGGAAATAAGAAGAACGCTGTGCGGGGCAGGGAAATAAGAAGAACGCTGTGCGGGGCAGGGAAATAAGAAGAACGCTGTGCGGGGCAGGGAAATAAGAAGAACGCTGTGCGGGGCAGGGAAATAAGAAGAACGCTGTGCGGGGCAGGGAAATAAGAAGAACGCTGTGCGGGGCAGGGAAATAAGAAGAACGCTGTGCGGGGCAGGGAAATAAGAAGAACGCTGTGCGGGGCAGGGAAATAAGAAGAACGCTGTGCGGGGCAGGGAAATAAGAAGAACGCTGTGCGGGGCAGGGAAATAAGAAGAACGCTGTGCGGGGCAGGGAAATAAGAAGAACGCTGTGCGGGGCAGGGAAATAAGAAGAACGCTGTGCGGGGCAGGGAAATAAGAAGAACGCTGTGCGGGGCAGGGAAATAAGAAGAACGCTGTGCGGGGCAGGGAAATAAGAAAAACGCTGTGCTGGGCAGGGAAATAAGAAGAACGCTGTGCGGGGCAGGGAAATAAGAAGAACGCTGTGCGGGGCAGGGAAATAAGAAGAACGCTGTGCGGGGCAGGGAAATAAGAAGAACGCTGTGCGGGGCAGGGAAATAAGAAGAACGCTGTGCGGGGCAGGGAAATAAGAAGAACGCTGTGCGGGGCAGGGAAATAAGAAGAACGCTGTGCGGGGCAGGGAAATAAGAACGCTGTGCGGGGCAGGGAAATAAGAAGAACGCTGTGCGGGGCAGGGAAATAAGAAGAACGTTGTGCGGGGCAGGGAAATAAGAAGAACGTTGTGCGGAGCAGGGAAATAAGAAGAACGTTGTGCGGAGCAGGGAAATAAGAAGAACGCTGTGCGGAGCAGGGAAATAAGAAGAACGCTGTGCGGGGCAGGGAAATAAGAAGAACGCTGTGCGGGGCAGGGAAATAAGAAGAACGCTGTGCGGGGCAGGGAAATAAGAAGAACGCTGTGCGGGGCAGGGAAATAAGAAGAACGCTGTGCGGGGCAGGGAAATAAGAAGAACGCTGTGCGGGGCAGGGAAATAAGAAGAACGCTGTGCGGGGCAGGGAAATAAGAAGAACGCTGTGCGGGGCAGGGAAATAAGAAGAACGCTGTGCGGGGCAGGGAAATAAGAAGAACGCTGTGCGGGGCAGGGAAATAAGAAGAACGCTGTGCGGGGCAGGGAAATAAGAAGAACGCTGTGCGGGGCAGGGAAATAAGAAGAACGCTGTGCGGGGCAGGGAAATAAGAAGAACGCTGTGCGGGGCAGGGAAATAAGAAAAACGCTGTGCTGGGCAGGGAAATAAGAAGAACGCTGTGCGGGGCAGGGAAATAAGAAGAACGCTGTGCGGGGCAGGGAAATAAGAAGAACGCTGTGCGGGGCAGGGAAATAAGAAGAACGCTGTGCGGGGCAGGGAAATAAGAAGAACGCTGTGCGGGGCAGGGAAATAAGAAGAACGCTGTGCGGGGCAGGGAAATAAGAAGAACGCTGTGCGGGGCAGGGAAATAAGAAGAACGCTGTGCGGGGCAGGGAAATAAGAAGAACGCTGTGCGGGGCAGGGAAATAAGAAGAACGCTGTGCGGGGCAGGGAAATAAGAAGAACGCTGTGCGGGGCAGGGAAATAAGAAGAACGCTGTGCGGGGCAGGGAAATAAGAAGAACGCTGTGCGGGGCAGGGAAATAAGAAGAACGCTGTGCGGGGCAGGGAAATAAGAAGAACGCTGTGCGGGGCAGGGAAATAAGAAGAACGCTGTGCGGGGCAGGGAAATAAGAAGAACGCTGTGCGGGGCAGGGAAATAAGAAGAACGCTGTGCGGGGCAGGGAAATAAGAAGAACGTTGTGCGGGGCAGGGAAATAAGAAGAACGCTGTGCGGGGCAGGGAAATAAGAAGAACGCTGTGCGGGGCAGGGAAATAAGAAGAACGCTGTGCGGGGCAGGGAAATAAGAAGAACGCTGTGCGGGGCAGGGAAATAAGAAGAACGTTGTGCGGGGCAGGGAAATAAGAAGAACGCTGTGCGGGGCAGGGAAATAAGAAGAACGCTGTGCGGGGCAGGGAAATAAGAAGAACGCTGTGCGGGGCAGGGAAATAAGAAGAACGCTGTGCGGGGCAGGGAAATAAGAAGAACGCTGTGCGGGGCAGGGAAATAAGAAGAACGCTGTGCGGGGCAGGGAAATAAGAAGAACGCTGTGCGGGGCAGGGAAATAAGAAGAACGCTGTGCGGGGCAGGGAAATAAGAAGAACGCTGTGCGGGGCAGGGAAATAAGAAGAACGCTGTGCGGGGCAGGGAAATAAGAAGAACGCTGTGCGGGGCAGGGAAATAAGAAGAACGCTGTGCGGGGCAGGGAAATAAGAAGAACGCTGTGCGGGGCAGGGAAATAAGAAGAACGCTGTGCGGGGCAGGGAAATAAGAAGAACGCTGTGCGGGGCAGGGAAATAAGAAGAACGCTGTGCGGGGCAGGGAAATAAGAAGAACGCTGTGCGGGGCAGGGAAATAAGAAGAACGCTGTGCGGGGCAGGGAAATAAGAAGAACGCTGTGCGGGGCAGGGAAATAAGAAGAACGCTGTGCGGGGCAGGGAAATAAGAAGAACGCTGTGCGGGGCAGGGAAATAAGAAGAACGTTGTGCGGGGCAGGGAAATAAGAAGAACGCTGTGCGGGGCAGGGAAATAAGAACGCTGTGCGGGGCAGGGAAATAAGAAGAACGCTGTGCGGGGCAGGGAAATAAGAAGAACGCTGTGCGGGGCAGGGAAATAAGAAGAACGTTGTGCGGGGCAGGGAAATAAGAAGAACGTTGTGCGGGGCAGGGAAATAAGAAGAAGTTGAAGTAAGAATCGCGTGGCGTGATGATGCAAACAAGGAAGAGAGAACGGAGGAACAGAGACAGGAGGGACAGAGGGAAAGGAGGGACAGAGAGAAAGGAGGGACAGAGAGAAAGGAGGGACAGAGGGAAAGGAGGGACAGAGAGAAAGTACGGACAGAGAGAAAGGGGGGAGAGAGAGAAATGAAGGACAGAGAAAAAGGGGGGACAGAGAGATAGGAGGGACAATGGGGAATGAAGGGGATTGGGGACACTGGGTACTGTTAGCCAACACGCACCACCCCCTGCCATTCAACCGAAGCCACCAGAAGGCAAAACACGCTACTCAAGCATACCTCCCGTTTGGCTGCTGCTTGCCAGCACCACCCCCTCCATCTGATCATCCTCACCATCCTCCTCATCATCCTCCTCATCGTCCAGATCAGTGTACACTACAAGTGCCTCCTCCCACTCCCTGCCACTCGATCGCATCCACAAAGGGGCGAGCCACACCTCTCCAACATACCTCCGGTTCGGCTGCTGTTAGCAAGAACCACCCCCTCCATCTCATCCTCCTCATCGTCTTCCTCATCCTCCTCGTCCGCCACCTCATCCTCTCATCCTCATCATCTTCCTCACCATCTCCTTTAGAGTACATACCTCCGGTTTGGCTGCTGTTTGCCAGCACCACGCCCTCCATCTCATCCTCCTCATCCTCATCTTCCTCATCGTCTTCCTCGTCCTCCTCATCATCCTCCTCGCTATCATCTACAATTGCCCTCGACCAATCCCTGGCATTCAAACACAGTTGGTAAAAGCAGGCGAAGAAACAGCAAGAAAAGCAAAACCGCATTGAAGTGGTTGTATGGGCTGGGCAGGGGAAGTGACTCTTTGGTGGACTCAGAAACCCAGAATTGGCACGGTCGGAAACAACAGGTGGAAAAGCAGATGGCATGAGGGTTTCGGGTTCTGCAGGCGACAATATTGACTGCTATCTGTGAGACAAAAGAATGGAGTAGAAAGAATTAGTCAAAGGGATTCAGCTTACAGTGGCAGGCCTGCCAGGTGTGCATCCTCCTCATCCGTATCCACCTCTGAGGCGCCATATGAATTAATTTATCGCCACTATTCTGTGATCTAAAATTAAACTTACAAAGGAAGGCCAGCAAGGTGAGCATCCTCCTCGTCCGTATCCACCTCCTTTCCCTCCTCCCCCTCCTCCTCGCTCTCCTCTCCCTCCTCCCCTTCCTCCTCCCCTCCCATCACACCCTCAGCCATGTAATACCCTGACAAATGGACCGAGCAATTTCTACCAGCCCCTTCAACCTCCCCAGGCACTACCAGGCTGATCTCGAACGGCTCGTCCATCATCAGATCCAACGGACAGGATTCCATGGCGCCGCCTGCAGTCAGCGAGCAGATCATGATCGGACGGCCAGCATCAGCCGCAGCACCAGGAGCAGCAGAACCAGCAGCACCAGCTCCGTGACTATGGCCCTTGCCCTTAGGCTCACAGCAGCCGTTCACGGCGCAGTGACTATGGCTCTTGCTCCCAGGGCTCCCCTTCCCAGCAGCAGGGCTCCCCTTTCCGCCTGCAGGAGTGCCCTTACCCCCCGGACTTGCCTTCCCCCCCGGGCTTCCCTTGCCCTTCGGTGTTCCCTCTGCTTCCCTCTCCTTCTCTTCTCCCTCCTCCCCATCCTCCTCCTCCTCCTCTCCTTCTTCGTGCGTGGCTAGCACCCTGACTTGCACGAGGACGCGTTTCTTGAGGGGACAATCAGGCCCGAGGACAGCCTGAGGTGTGTGTGGGGGGGGAGGGGGAGGAGGGAGGGGGGGGGAAGGGGTTGAGGGTTTAAGGAGGTGAGATGTGCTGGGGGAAGTCAAGCCCGAGAACAGCCTGATGGGGAAGGGGAAAGGGGGAACGGGAAGAGGATTTTAACGGGTTGAAGTTAGAGAAAAAGCCTGGGAGTAGATATATCAAAGAGATGGGTAATTTAAGGACCAGGAGCACTTTAATCAGTGCTTTGAGAGTAAAACGAAAACTCAGGATTCTATGTTGATTTGTGAAGCAGGTATGCAGCTGTTCCTTCTGGGAGGCGACGGGTCCAGGGTTTTACACGCGGGAAGCCTTTTCAAAGGGTACGGGGTTTAAGAGGCCCAGGGTTTAAGAGTTTCAAGCATTAACGCGTATGGCCATAATCCCTTCAACGGCCCGTCTGGTGCAGGTCCTACAGGGAGTAACTTTTATCTACGGAAAGTCATGACGGTGATCATTCGTACATGAGAAGGGTTTTAACTGGTGACGGTTTTATCTGGGGGAGAGGAAATTTCATTAGAGGGAGGTTTCACATGGGGGAGGTTTTACCTGGGAGATGTGGAGCGGCCCTCCGGTACCATCTTCAGGGTCGCAAACGATTGGCTCGCCCTGCTTCACCTCCACACCTGGCGCACGTGATTGTAACGAGGGAGAGAGGGGTGAGGAAAGAAAGAAAGACGGGAGGGAGGGAGGGACGTACGATCAACAAATGATGTCGGTGGTCTAGGTCAACCACTCCACCAAGTGGAGGAGAATTCTACGCAGCCACAGCCGCGAGGCTTCTCTGCCTGCAGCCTTTCCCTATAGATCCCAACAGCGACCCCGGTGCTAAAGGCGATACGTCAATCGCTCCCCACGGATCGCCGATCGCTAAAGTCGCTACGCAATTGGGTGGGCTGGTCCGTAGAGCAACAGCACGCGGGGGCGCGGGAACGGCAGAAGTGGCGGAGGAGTGGGCGGCGGAGGGGACGAGCGGAAGATGGCACGGAGGAAATGTGTTTCAAGTCGACTGAAACACACGGAAAAGGAAGAGCGGACGCGGACACGGTACGAAACAGTGCGACCAGCGCGCATTGCGGACAAACGAGGACGAGGCAGATCCGCGAGGGAATCGAGACGAGGCTAATTGGTCAGGGGGAATGACGACGAGCCCGATCGGTCTCGCTGCTTTGAGAAGTAACGCCGAGTGGTGTGATCGGCGCTATGAGATGCAAGTACGTACCCCAGAAGAGCATCGTGCGGTGCTGCGATCTGTGCTGCTGTGCTGAGCGGTGCTGCGCGGTTCTCTGCTCGCTCCGATCTGGTTTAGACCTTCCGAAGGCAAAAGCAGCGAGACGAAGAGCGGGAGACGGTCTAGAATGAAGCTATCGTGCGGGCGGATAGAAGTCTATAAATTGCAGTGGAGTAAAGCAAGCACACGTTGTCTGTCCTTCGAGAGGTTTCGGGCTTGGCTGTGCCTCCCGTTTTGACGAATGGCTGGCGAAGAGTGTGCGATCTGCCACCAAGGAATGCGGCCTTCGCGAATGTTCTTCCATCTGTCGCGCGTTATGGTGAGTGGTATTGCTAGTATGTCGTTGTAAGCAGAATTGTTCAGATGGTTACTCATTTCATTCCGGTTCGTCTTATCAATGATTAAAATTTAGGCAGTACATTAAACTAAAATCGGCGCATCTGGTGCATTATGAGCAGAAATATAGATAAAAATCAATAAATTTAATGGAAATTTGTGAGAAAAAATGAAATTGAATTATTCTTCAGCAATAACCGATGCCAGCTAGATTCTCAATGCACGTTTATTTCACCGAATTTATTAGCTTGTACCGAGGATTCACAGCCACAGCGGATTCGACAGAGATCAAATTTCCCTGAATTCCATTTCTGCAAGTTAGACTTGTTCCCCTTCTTTGCTCGGAATAACGGCTCTTTCCTTTCTGCCTGTTCTCTAGTTCCGTGGCCATGGCGTCTCCGCCAATCCTGGACTGGCAGTTAGACGAGGACAGGTTCGTGGCTCTTCTAGGAAAGTTGATTAACGAGGCGCGATACCTTCAGGTGAGGATTGGTACTCGTCCGCCTCTCCTTAGGAGTTGGTCGTTGTCGTGCTAGCTGGCAGGTGGAGAATGGCGTATTTATCCCCGTTTTATTTCCGGTATGTTTAGTTTTTCTCTAATTCATCTGCGATGTACGTATCACGCCGTACTTTGGTTCGATTCGATCGCGCAGATAATGAAATCACGCTTTATGAGTCGTTACAATGATCACCATCGCCCTTTTCTGGCCATTCTGCAGGACGCCATCCTCGTGTTTTGACGTTGGAGGACCGACAGCTGTTACCACTCGACCCGGTCCCTTTTAGCTCCAATCTGATTCCCTTTTTCACGCTTTGCTTCCGTATTTGTCCGTTGTGTGACTGTATCGAATGTCCTGCTGGCTGGCAGAACAACCCCCTGAGTGCGTGCCTAAGGAGGACCGCGCAGTGCGACACGTTCTCGACGTGCTACAGCCCTACAGGTACCTCTTCTCGACGTGCTACAGCCCTACAGGTACCTCTTCTCGACGTGCTACAGCCCTACAGGTACCTCTTCTCGACGTGCTACAGCCCTACAGGTACCTCTTCTCGACGTGCTACAGCCCTACAGGTACCTCTTCTCGACGTGCTACAGCCCTACAGGTACCTCTTCTCGACGTGCTACAGCCCTACAGGTACCTCTTCTCGACGTGCTACAGCCCTACAGGTACCTCTTCTCGACGTGCTACAGCCCTACAGGTACCTCTTCTCGACGTGCTACAGCCCTACAGGTACCTCTTCTCGACGTGCTACAGCCCTACAGGTACCTCTTCTCGACGTGCTACAGCCCTACAGGTACCTCTTCTCGACGTGCTGTACCCTACAGGTACCTCTTCTCGACGTGCTACAGCCCTACAGGTACCTCTTCTCGACGTTCTACAGCCCTACAGGTACCTCTTCTCGACGTGCTACAGCCCTACAGGTACCTCTTCTCGACTTGCTACAGCCCTACAGGTACCTCTTCTCGACGTGCTACAGCCCTACAGGTACCTCTTCTCGACGTGCTACAGCCCTACAGGTACCTCTTCTCGACGTGCTACAGCCCTACAGGTACCTCTTCTCGACGTGCTACAGCCCTACAGGTACCTCTTCTCGACGTGCTACAGCCCTACAGGTACCTCTTCTCGACGTGCTACAGCCCTACAGGTACCTCTTCTCGACGTGCTACAGCCCTACAGGTCCTTTCCGGTTACTGCTCCGCCCTGTGTCCTCCGCCCTGTGTCCTCCGCCCTGTGTCCTCCGCCCTGTGTCCTCCGCCCTGTGTCCTCCGCCCTGTGTCCTCCGCCCTGTGTCCTCCGCCCTGTGTCCTCCGCCCTGTGTCCTCTGCCCTGTGTCCTCCGCCCTGTGTCCTCCGCCCTGTGTCCTCCCCCCTGTGTCCTCCGCCCTGTGTCCTCCCCCTTGTGTCCTCCGCCCTGTGTCCTCCCCCCTGTGTCCTCCGCCCTGTGTCCTCCCCCCTGTGTCCTCCGCCCTGTGTCCTCTGCCCTGTGTCCTCTGCCCTGTGTCCTCTGCCCTGTGTCCTCCGCCCTGTGTCCTCCGCCCTGTGTCCTCTGCCCTGTGTCCTCCGCCCTGTGTCCTCCCCCCTGTGTCCTCCGCCCTGTGTCCTCCCCCCTGTGTCCTCCGCCCTGTGTCCTCCGCCCTGTGTCCTCCGCCCTGTGTCCTCCCCCCTGTGTCCTCCGCCCTGTGTCCTCCCCCCTGTGTCCTCTGCCTTCCATTATGTGTGCAATGAGGAGCAGGGCGGACCGCTGCACATCCAGCATGTGAGCTATGTGGAGGGGCGGGGCAGCTTGATCATGACGTACGAGGGCTCGCACCTCTCTAACGTTCTCTCCTCTGTCCTCGCCCCCTCAGTTCATTCACCCACTCCACTCTCACTGTTCGTCCCCTGGTTCCTCTCCCACTCCCCGTGCTGTGTGTGCAGCGAGGAGGAAGGGGGACCGCTGCACATCCAGCATGTGAGCTACGTGGAGGGGCGGGGCAACCTCATCATCACGTACAAGGGCTCACACCCCTCCAACGTCCTCTCCTTCGTCGGCTGTCACATGGACGTCGTCACCGCCAACCCTGATGACTGGGTGGGTGAAAGAATGTGGCTGATTTCCCGGGTGTATATCTCATAGTTTAAAGTAGATACCCTTTATGTTATTGGATCCCATCGTCCCTTCTAAGGCCCTCTCGTCCGTGGGCTGCCACATGGATGTCATCTCGTCACTGCCAACCCCGATGACTGGGTGGGTTGTAACCCGAGAATGGCGGTCACAGGTGCCTATCCTTGCCCCCCTGTGTGTTCTGAGGTGGGCACTAGCCCTCACCCTCACCCTCACCCTCACCCTCACCCTCATCCTCCTTTGCCTTCCTCTCCTTGTGCTTCCCCTTTCTCAGGACTTTGACCCCTTTACCTTCTCTCGGGACGGTGACAAGCTGAGGGGCAGGGGCACCACGGACTGCCTGGGCCACGTGGCGCTCGTCACGGAGCTCATGCGCCAGCTGGCAGTCTGCCGCCCGGAGCTGGGCGCGACAGTGGTGGCGGTGCTAATAGCCAACGAGGAGAACGCGACAGTGAAGGACATTGGTGTGGATGGGCTGGTGAAGGCGGGGCTTTTGGATCATCTCAAGAACGGTCCTCTGTAAGTTCCTGTTCCTCTCCGCGCCTCTCTTCTGAGTCGCTCCCCACCGCTCTTCACGGTGGTGGCGGTGCTGATAGCCAATGAGGAGAATGTGATGGCGAAGGATATTGGAGTGGATGGGCTCGTGAAGGCACTTTTGAGTTGACTCAAAAATCGACAAATCACACACACGCGATGGCGAAGGATATCAGAGTGGATGGGCTCGTGAAGGCACTTTTGAGTTGACTCAAAAATCGACTCATCACACACACGCGATGGCGAAGGATATCAGAGTGGATGGGCTCGTGAAGGCACTTTTGAGTTGACTCAAAAATCGACTCATCACACACACGTGATAGCGAAGGATATCAGAGTGGATGGGCTCGTGAAGGCACTTTTGAGTTGACACAAAAATCGACTCATCACACACATGCGATGGCGAAGGATATCAGAGTGGATGGGCTCGTGAAGGCACTTTTGAGTTGACTCAAAAATCGACTCATCACACACACGCGATGGCGAAGGATATCAGAGTGGATGGGCTCGTGAAGGCACTTTTGAGTTGACTCAAAAATCGACTCATCACACACACGCGATGGCGAAGGATATCAGAGTGGATGGGCTCGTGAAGGCACTTTTGAGTTGACTCAAAAATCAACTCATCACACACACGCGATGGCGAAGGATAGCAGAATGGATGGGCTTGTGAAGGCACTTTTGAGTTGACTCAAAAATCGACTCATCACACACACGCGATGGCGAAGGATATCAGAGTGGATGGGCTCGTGAAGGCAGGGCTGCTTAATCATTTCAACAACGGTGTGCTGTGCTGTGAGTTGCTGTTCTGTTCCCCGCCTCTCTTTTCCTGTGTGTTGTGAGGCGTCTCAAAGCTGGATGGGCTGGTCAAAGCGGGCATGCTGGACCACCTCAAGCACGGTCTGCTGTAAGCTCCCCGAGGTGACTTTTGAGTTGACTCAAAAGTCAAAGCGGGCATGCTGGACCACCTCAAGCACGGTCCGCTGTAAGCTCCCCGAGGTGACTTTTGAGTTGACTCAAAAGTCAAAGCGGGCATGCTGGACCACCTCAAGCACGGTCTGCTGTAAGCTCCCCGAGGTGACTTTTGAGTTGACTCAAAAGTCAAAGCGGGCATGCTGGACCACCTCAAGCACGGTCTGCTGTAAGCTCCCCGAGGTGACTTTTGAGTTGACTCAAAAGTCAAAGCGGGCATGGTGGACCACCTCAAGCACGGTCCGCTGTAAGCTCAGCTCCCCGGCCCACGGTCTACCATGCTTCCCACGGTCTCCCTTCCCACACCCACCACAGTCTCTCTTGCCGTCCCACCCCCACCTTCCTCTCTCTGCCGTCCTCCCCCCACCCTCCTCTCCTCTCTCTGCCGCCCTCCACCCTCCTCTCTCTTCCGTCCTCTCCGTGCCCCTATGTTCCCTGTGCCACGTGGCAGCTTCTGGGTGGACACAGCAGACAAGCAGCCGTGCATTGGCACGGGGGGCATGCTGGCATGGAAGCTCAAGGCGTTCGGGAAGCTCTTCCACTCGGGGCTGCCCCACAAGGTGAAGTAAAGGGTCGCGTTGTGCTCAAGTATGAAGCATGGAGCTCGCATAGACAGCACTGGCAGAGATGAGATGCATTCCCGCTTCTACCACCTTCTGTCATGGCCCCTAACATCATATAACCCCTCTAGACTCCAACTCCACCCCTCTGAACCCTGGTCCGCCCCCTCACACTCCTCTCCAGGCAGTGAACCCCATAGAGCTGGCCATGACAGCCCTGGCAGAGATCCAGACCCGCTTCTATCAGGACTTCCCTCCCCATGCCATGGAGGAGACGTATGGGTTCGCCACC